TTATACTTGTAATTGGTGTGACAGTTAAAAAGTCTTGATTCTAGAAGAGTCTTAGTGTTGCCAATAACAAATAATGAATTCCAAGAGTCCATAATCAAGTAATGTTTAATGTCTTAATGAGAATGTCTGATTCAGGATCAGAACTGGACCCTCTTTTCCTTGTGCTTGCTGTGCTGTTGGCCTGCTGTGTGACTGTGATTGTTGTCCTCAGTGTCAAAGTAAATCAAAGAGTTTGCAAACATTGCAAAGGTAAGTTGACCAAAGTGAGATTTTTATATTGATATATTGAGTATGCATAGCATGCACCGGTTTTTAGCTTTGGATTGACTTTGAATCATTAGCATTTTGCATCTTAAGTCCTGAAAACAAGTAGAGGTCAGAAAATCCACCTTTATGTCTGCCTGCATGCATTTGGGTTCAATTTTAGCAACATTCTAATAATACTCAGCAAACTGGTAACTTATAGAATGAGTGCATGTTACTTCTCCGCCAGATAACAAGTATTCAAGTGACAGGAAAAGCTTTCCCTTTATTTAACAGGCGCAATGAGTACTTTCCATCACCAAGAACATGACAGGTCAAGTCTGGATGAATCAAATGATTTGGTAAATATGCTTTAAAGTTTCTACGATCAATATTTTTGTATTAACAATTGATCAAAGTGAAACTAAGTCCCTGTTACAGTCAGAGACAGTTAGGTCAAGAATTTTTACCATTTTAGTCAATTGTACAATTATATTTGGCAAAAAGGCTCTCACTGAATCCCCCATAATGCACATATGCATGACCATGTATCATGGCTATTTAAAATGACATACAAATCATTGAAAAATCTGGGAGCTCAATGGAACACACATAACTTGTGAATATGGCAAAATTCCCCAATAGTAGGAATAACACATTTTCATCTTATTAATGTGTCGATGTACATTTGAAGAATTTGGACTTTTTACTATTTCATTTTAGAAGTACAACTGTATTCATAATTTCTTGACCATGTGTATTTGCGAAAGAAAACTGCAAAACACAAGGTTATCATGTAAAATTTTGTTTTTAAGCTCTTTTCTTGCCGTAAAGAGTGGTATACAATTTATGTCCAGTGGTGGATGTAGGATGAACACGCACTGTACACCAATTTTTTACCAATAGGTTTTAGTGTTTGCTATTGGGCTGTAAATTGATGTGACTCAACTGCCAATAATCAGAAAATCAAAGTCATTACGTTCTTAACTTTATCTTATTATTACAGCCTTATTCTAACAGAAATGTTCACCATTAACACAGTCTGTATGTTTTTCTTTTGCAGGAAGGTGAAGTAGAGGCATTGAACTATGTAGCACCGACTTTCTTTGAAAGGAAAGCAAAAAGAATGGAGAAGAAGAGAGAGTCACCACATCAGTGCGTGTACTCTTCTGTAAAGCAAAGCTGAGTGCATCACCACATCTGGCAATATCCCTCTTTAACAGTACATCAAAATTTCCCCAAAATCTTATCTTACAGCAGGGTTGGGTACCAAACTCTGTATTTTAGAAAAAATGTATAGGCGAGTGACACCAATTTTCCTGTCCTGCAAATATTTCACAATAAAAAACTATTTAACTGTATCGTGAACTGTATCCAACTCTACTGCGCTGTGCAACAAAAATCTCATCAATACTGTCACTCACTTTGACTCATCTTGTGGGATTAAGTATTTGTTTCCTGAAGTATAATTCAGTTTCCTTAGCCAACCAGTGTGTTTGCTATTAGCTGAGCTTGGTGTACAACAATGAACAAAATGTTGGAGGGTAGTAATCAGAACAGAAAGAATCTCTGGGAGCTAATGACTGAATGACAGAGTTAGTGGTTAGTTTTCCAGCTAGTGACTCACCAACAAGCCCTTCGAGTGTTCAGAGAAATAAAAATGTATATATAATGCTGACAATGTGGGTGTGAACTACCACATTATGATATTTTTTGGGTGATAGCATGTATTAGTATTTTTGTTTAACCATATTTCATGAATGTATTGGCCCATTTCATTGACATTTTGAGAAAGTGATATTGGTATGTGTATTAATAAAGACTGGTTTATGTTAATGTTTGTTTTCTCTCAGATTTTTAAGTGCATGATAGAACCAACATAAGAGGGCTATCTATTCATATTCACTCTCCAACTCTGAACATCCAACTTTAAACATTAATAGAGTTGTATTTGTGTATTTGTCCTGTTCAACTGTTGGCAGCCATTTAGCCATTTCAATAAAACTTTGTCATTGCATTAACATGACAGATTTTCCTCATTTTGATCTGCTCTTTTACAAATCCTATGAACTTGCATGAGTTTATGTACAATTATGCCCA